GGGTGCCCTCTTGCTGCGGCTGCTGCTGCTGCTGCTGCTGCTGCTGTTGCGCAGCAGCAGCAGAAATAGAAGCGGGAAGAGCAGCAGAAGCAGAAGCAGCAGTTTGAACGACGGTGTTAGCTGGAGGAGCCGCCTCCTTCGCGTCTCCCCCAGCATTCACAACAGCAGCAGCTGCTGCTGCTGCTGCTGTTGTTGCTGCTGCTGCAGCTGTTGTTGCTGTTGTCTTGCCTGTTGAGTTTGAGTTTAGATCGGGGGAAAGCTGGCTAGAGTTTTGCTGTTCCCCTTGCTGCTGCTGCTGCTGCTGCTGCTGCTGGTTTGCCTGCTGCTGGCGTTGTTGCTGCTGCTGTAGCTGCTGCTGCGGTGCTGCTTCCGCAGCAGCAGCAGCTGTCGAAGTAGAATGTGCTGCCTTCATGATTAGCAGCAAAGCAGCAACGGAGCTGCAATAGAGAAGCGAGAGGATGAGTTAACGCTGCAGCAGCGGGAGGCAGCTAATGAAGAAGCAGCAGAAACAGAGCAGCAGCAGCAGCAAACGAGAGAAGCAAGGAGCCCCAAGAGGGTGCGGCTGCTGCGCTGCTGTAGTTTCATTGCGCAGCAGACAGGGAAGCAGAGGCAAATCCAGCAGCAGCAGCAGCAGCAGCAGCAACAGCAGCAGTAGCAGCAGCGGCAGCACAGGTGGGAATATGCAACAAATAAGGGGCAGCAGACAGCAACAGCAGCCGACTGCAGCAGCAGCCGACTGCAGCAAGCAGCAGAAAGATAATAATTAAAAAGAAAAACTCTCAAGATAAACAAAGCCCCGGTAAACTCTGATAAATAAATAAATGTCGCAGGATGAGAGAGATGAAGAGAGATGAAGAGAGAAAAAACAAAAAAGAAAGAGCAGCAAAAGTAAATAAAATAAAATACGCAGCCTAATAAACAATTAAATATATATTTGCCCCCTGAAATAAATAAGATGAAGAAGAAGCAGCAGCAGCAGCAGCAGCAACAGCAGCAGCAGCAGCAGCAACAGCAGCTGCAGCAGCTGCTGCAGCAGCTGCTGCTGTTGCTGCTGGTATGCCTACAACAGCAGCCGCAGCAGCAGCAGCAACAGCAGCCACCACCACCACCACCAGCAGCAACAACAGCAGCAACAGCAGCAACTGCGAGAAAAACAACTACAAATATATTAATAAATTATTACTCTCTAAAGGGAGCTTCACCAGCAGCAGTCTTGCTGCACTGTCTATATACCGCAACACCGCGCGCAGCACCTGCTGCTGCTGCTGCTGCTGCTCCTGCTGTTGCTGTTGCTGCTGCTCCTGCTGCTGCTGCTGCTGCTGCTGTCCCTGCTGCTGCAGCAGTTCGTCAGACACCTCCCCCTACCGTTCAGGGCTTCTCTCTTTATATTTTTTCTTTGTTTTTTATTTTAAATTATATTTAATTATTTTATTCTTTAAATATTTAATTTAAAACAAAACTCTTCTTTGCTTTGCCTCACACTCGGCACCCCCTCTTGTGGGGCGGTGCCATTGCGTCTGCTGCTGCTGCTGTTGCTGCGGTGGTTGGCTGCTGCTGCTGCTGCTGCTGGTGCTGGTGCTGCTGCTGCTGCTAGACTTAGATTTATTTATTTATTTGTTTGTTTATTTATTTTTAATGTTAAAATAAATATTATCATGCAGTTAAATTAAAACTAAAGATGTACGAAGTGCTGCTGCTTAACCCCCCTCCCCTACCTAGCCAGAGAGCAGAGAGCGTAGGAACCGTGCTGCTGCTGCTGCTGCTGTTGCTGCTGCTGCTGCTGTTGCTGTTGCTGCTGCAGCAGCAGCAGTGTGCACTGCTGTTGCTGTTGCTGTTGCTGTTGCTGTTGCTGCTGCTGCTGCTGTCGATATGTCTTCAGTGTGTATGAGTCAATGCAGAGAAGAGGGGCTGCTGCTGCAGCATAAATAATAATAAAAAACATCTGTCTTTGCTTTGTCTCCTCGTCTATCTGCTGTCTCCTCGCTGTCTCTTTCCTTTGCTACTGCTGCCGCTGCTGCTGCTGCTGCTGCTGCAGGGAGAGTGAGGGGGGTGCACCCAAACACGAAGACATATATAT